AAAATTATAAGTTAAATAATTATAATAATCAATTTTTTAATAACAATTTATAAACACTACTTAGTAAATTAATATAATAAATATCAAAAGTTATCTTTCTATTTATATAAGGTTGTCGGATCCTGATATCCGTATCCCAAAAAAGACCGAATATCCTGAAAGTTTCGGTTCGTATACCGGATCCCGATATCTTAAGATTTCCAACTATCCGACAACCTTAATTGATACAACAGTAATATAAAATATTCTTTTTATTGTCATTAATATTATTGTAAATAAGGATTACATTGAGTTGAATGATCACAAATTTTATCATTACCACAATTAAAAAAACCACTTTTAATATTAGAATATAATCTTAAAACCCCATTTAAAAACCCAATTTAAAAACCGAATTTAATATACTTATCTTCCCATTCTTTACTGTATTAATTTAGCAAGGTTTATTATTAGCTTTCTTCGCTTTAAGCATTTCTTTAGGATTATGACAAACAAGTTTTCCTGTGCCACCGACATAATCAGGGCTGCATTGACAAACACCTTTTTTAAATGTAGTAGTAGCTATAATACAAAATTATATGTCTAATAATCAAAGTCAAAAAATTACTATAAAGAGGCGACGTTTCTGTTCCTGGATCCGAACATGCGTGTGATACGTATTCACATAGTTTAACTTGTCCATTTTTACAGTCTGAAATGAACGGAAATCTTATTATCTTATAAATCTTTAAATGTACACTGAAGATTTACACCTTTTAGAAATAATATTAGTTTTGATTGATATTAGTTTTGATTGGGATCAAAACCAAACAAATATATAATTCCTTACTTATATCGCAACCAGCATTCACGTACACAAAGAATGTCAATTTAAGCAAAAATATGATTGCAACGAAACTCATGTTTAAATTTAAATTTTTCTTGTAAAGCTTAAAATTTATTATGTAAATTTCATATGTGTTCAAGAATTTTGACTCAATTATGTCAGTTTAGGATCGAAAAACAGTCCCTGTTAGCATTTCCCTTACCTTAATAAATGTAGGAAGTATTGGTCCTAAGCAAATTTTTAGCGCAATTTGACTTTAGTTAAAATATTTCTAGTATAAGGAAGATTTAAATGACCTGATATTAAATTCCCCTACTCTAGACTTATCACTAATCGGATCAACTCAACTATTCTTTCGTTTCCGAAAGAAATAAATATAATCATAAACAAAACCAGACTGTCACTAACATTTATTTTACATTTTAAAAATACAATTTAAAGTTTATAATAATAAAATGAGAATTCAATCGACTAACTAGTTGGGGATACAATTTATTTATAAGTGATTAAAATGGGCGGGATTAATTATAAGAGGGGATATGACTTGTTGCTCTAGAGTAGGGGAATTTAATATTAGGCCATTTAAGTCTTCCTTACACTAGTTAAAGCTTCGCCTCAATTCACTCCCAACGTCTCAGTTTTAGAGAAAAGCTTAGCATTTAGTATTTGATAAAATTTCTTAATTAGCCCTACTTTTTATCGGGAATATGACCTCTATTATTTAATACCGACTAAGTTCGTCGGTAATAAACGACAAACTTTAATACAGAAGAACTTCGACGAAGCCCGTATTAGCGACTAGATCTCGAAATAATTAAGGCGTGAAACATGCTATATAGATATTTATCAAACTTCATTTGTGACGATATAAAATTTTAATAACAAAAATCAAGCGTAAAACTGCTAACTTAGCTAGTCTTTATAAATATAAAGTGAATTGCGTCAATCTCATTAGTGAAATAAATTTTTATTTTATTACCAGCTGAATAAATTTTAAAAATAGAAAACTTGGCTCAGTATTTTTTAAAACTTTCCTTCTCTAAATAATTTTTTATTAATAAATTTTTTTATTAATTAAGAAAAATCAAGTTGTATAAATAATAATTAAATTTTAAATATTCCTTTTATGGAATAAAATATTTTATTTGGCTATATCTTCAAAAAACTTCCAGAAATCGTGCTAGAAATCAGTTAGAATTTTATTTGGAAATTTAAATTCGGTTTTTTATCAATCAATCAAAAAATTAAATTTTATTAGAATATTCGCCTTAAATTTGTATTATTGCAGCGTCAACTCCCTTAACGTTGAATTAAATTGTTTTAGACTTTTGTTTTGTATAAAATAAAGAGTGGAACTTAGAACTTAAAGAGTTTGTTTTGAGTTTTCTAAGTTCAGAGCTCTTCTTAGATTTAAAAGTTAATTGAAAATTGCAGTCTTTTCACTGTTTTATTAATTTAAGGTTTTAAAATTTTAATTTAAATAAAGTTTTTTATTCTTTTAAAATTAATTTTTTATCTTTAAATAATTGTTGGGAAAGTATTTCTAAACATTTAGTGCCGCTACATTTGAACGAACCTGTCTGAATTCTAGTTTTAAAAGTTAAAATTGTTTGTAAAAAGAAATTTTTCTTTAGAAAAATTTAAAAAAATTATTTTTTGAGAAAAAGAAATTGTTTTTAAAAATGAAAAATTTTAATCTAAAACTTTAAGTTTACTTTAAAAAATTAAAGTTTAAAGTTAAAATCTATTTGAAGTTAAAGCTAAGAGTATAAATTAAGAATTGAAAATGTCCGGTCCATACAAAAGAATGATCGGAACTTTTTTTACAACGTTTGAAAGTTAGAATTGAAAATGCTGAAAGTATTGAATTAAAATATGACATAAATGATGAAGAGAAAAAATCATTAGTTAATGATGGAAAAGGCATAAAAAATTTTAAAAACTTTAGATGAAAAGAACCATCTTCGGTTAGATTTCCTAAAAGTTTTAGATCCAAATGATAGAATGAAAGAAACTCAAGCTTATGAAAATTATATGTTAAGACTCAGTTGAGTTTAAATTTGAGTTTAAAGTTGAGTTTAAATTTTGTGTTTAAATTAAAATTATCGGATAGCATTTAAAGACAGTCAAATTTTTCTCATATCCTAATATTAATAAACTGAATGACTAAAATTAAACACAATTTTTTGACAGATTTATGCATTGAAATATAAAAGATAACCGAAAATATCTAAAATTATGCCGAAATATAAGTTTAAAATAAAATTATAATTGTCTATCCATGCCTTGATACACCTTAATGATCAATACCTAATCTGTATTCAACAAAGTGAGGTATCTAAAGTTTGAGAGGCTATCGCTTTGTCTTCCCCCCACCCTCCAATACAAGTAGCCAAACAAATATTAGAACTCGTCTATAAAGCGAGTGGTATCTAACTCTGAGGTCCGTCTGTATGTCTAATTTAATAAGACCTCAAAGAGGAATTTTTAAAAGTAAACTATATAAGGATATACTCCAGGTTATAGTCCTCATCTAAAGACAAAGACTAGCGAATCGGGATATCCGGATAAAAAGACACCTAATCACCCAAATATAATAATTTCGGCATCAAAAAATAGAAAAAGAAAATTTGAAAATTTAAAGATTTGACAGATTTTTTTGTTTAACAGCCAATCTAACTAATGATTCTTGCTTTCTTTCATGCCTTTCAATCAGTTAAAAATAACTTCGGTATTGTAGTCATCGTCATCGCTAAAATTTTAAAATATTAATAAAGTTGAATCTCGATATACCAAACTTTAAGGATCTATTTTCTATTTTTTACCTACTATATAATTTTTTACAACCTGTTTAGTTACATATTTTAGGGGTTTAAACCTGAAACTCCGATCCCTAGTCTTTTTAAACTTTTGGATTAAAATCTTTTAATAAAGAGAGATAACCCCGATGTACCTCGAGCCAATGTCCGTGTGACACTGTCCGTGTGCCATTGTCCGTGTTAATAAAGACACCGATGTACCTCGAGCCAATGTCCGTGTATCCTCGAGCCAATATTCGTGTTATCAATGTCCGTGTTGATAAATGGAGGGATACACCCCGATGTACACCGAGCCAATGTCCGTGTGCCCATACTTGGGTTCACCGATTCTATATTTTTCGGCGGTAAGTTATAGTTCGGGCATCTATTGTACCATGTATATTGGCATGCGCCCAAAAGAGAACAAGCTTATGGTAGAAGTCAAACTTTACTTCTCTCATACATTAATATTTTTAAATTAAAAATTATTCTTATAATGAATCACAAATTATAAAAGAATATTGACCAGATAGTATCTAAACCTTACTTTTGCTGGTATTTGCCGTGCTCATTGATATCGTCAATGACTTGATTAAAAGCATAAACTCCTCCAACAGCAAAAAAATCATCAAGAGAGCGAATGCCTTCTGGCCATGATTCATAATTGAACAAATGACTTTTACAGCTATTATCCGCAATAGCAATTATGAGTTCATAGACAAAATGGCGGCATTTGAAGTGTGGTACAATATTGCGTCCACGAGTAACTTTTTTGTAGGCAATGTTGATGATCTGATGCAAATTGAGTTGACGTGTATACACCTATTAAATTTAAAAAGATTTTAGGGCATCGAGAAAATGTTAGGTTTAATTAAGTCTGAGCTAATATGATCTCTCCCATCTCTCAAAAAATCAAGAAAAATAGAAAATTACATCTATACCGTGACGAAATATAAATGTTAATAAACATACATATGGATTACGGCATCTAGTCGCTCTTTTGCCAGTGTTCAAATATTCCTTAGTGTTTTTACTTCGTGTTGAACTAGCTTCTGTTCTATTCTCATTATCAATTTCCAATTTCAATTGAGCATCAGTGTCAGTGTTTCCTCTGACAAAATAACTTGTCCGACGTGCTGTATCATAAAAGTTTAAGCCTTTCGATGTAAGATGAACTGAAATAATTATAAGCTTATAATAAGTCTTTGTTATCAACATATGCTAAAACTATGTTTTTTGTGCGTTTCACGACCCAACTAGGCCAGGAAAAAAATATTGAAATCCATATAAATCCCATCTACTTATGAGTTAGAGTTTTTTGAAATTAATGAGAAGAAAATTTGAAATTTTTCCATTAATTTAAGCAGCAATAAAATTTAATTAAAGAATAACTCACGTCTAAACTTCTCTTGTTCTCCGTTGTAAAACATCACCATTACATGGCCATCAAATAGGGGTTCAAAGATGGGATTATTCGAAGGCTTTCCTTGGATCAACCAATTTGTAACTCCAGAATTAGAATTTCCAATTTCCCAATCAGCAATCGCTCCGACAAGCTCTTCGATTCCCATTAATCCTCTTCGAACTCCAGGTATATTTTTATACTTCCTAACGACATTGACTTGTCCATCGTCATTATCTAAAAATAATGGTAATTATTAAATTATTAATTCGTTCAGTTATTGAGAAACATACATTGTACATTCAAAAGTCCCAAAGCTTCGAGGATGTCCTCAATATTAACTACTGCATCTTTTTTATACACATGCGCATCTTGTAGAACAAGAATCGAACCTCCATCAACTAAATTGAAATTGCTATTATGCTCATACTTCCAAAAAATTTATTCTTAGGGGATGGAAGGACCATCATAAAGCGCTTACAGACAGAAGCACAACCGCTGTGCTACCATCATCTATAATGGCATTTTGTGGCCCGAGACTTATGCTTGTAGCTAGCTGTCACAGTCTTAGCGTTTAATTTTAATTTAAATATTCATAAATTACATCGTCTGGTGTATATTCCAAGATCGTATCGTGTAGGAACATCTGGATTAAACGAAAAGCTTCCCGATTGCATAATTTGCTTGTCTTTACCCCTCTTTGAACCTCTAGAACTTCCCGCTCCCCCACCTCCAGTTGCATATTCAATGCAAATCAAAGACAAAATCACAAAGGAAAACATTCTTTCTTTAAAGAATGAATTCAAAAGCTTTAAGGACATCATCCTTTAAAATTTAAAAATATTAAGCAACTCGAGGAATAAATTAAAAATGAGAAGGAATGCTTATAGCTTTGAGAGAGCTTTAAGAGAGCTTTAAGAGAGCTTTAAGAGAGCTCTAAGAGAATTAAAAAATTAAAAAATAAAATTTTAAAGTGATTGTTGCTGGGGATTCAACGCTTATTTATACGGCCCCACAGCCTTGCCGAACATGTCGATCGAGGCGGAGCTTTCCCTGAGCTGCGCGTAAGTCGGTAAATTTCTCTAACAGCATTTTACTTACATTAAATCTTAATTAAAATATACGATGCCCAAGTGAGCAGAGATAAAAAAAGATAAAAAAACATAGAGTAAGATATAATTTTGGCAGAGAAATTCGACCTGGCAATCCCATGCAGCCATAGAATCTCATGACTGTCACTTGTTTTAGAGTATTGAATCGGCGGCAAATACCCTATCTAATAAGAAAAGTGCAGTGCAGTGTATCAGCGCCACATCAAAATTGTCTAGAGTGCGTTTTTCTATTTATTTAAACATTTATTTCCAATTATGTAAGTTCAATCATTCTTGTTTAAAATTTCATAATCGAGCTATAGTTGAATTACAGACGGTATTATATAGTAAAGCGGTTGGTCCCGTTTCCCAGTTGCCTCGTTGTTCAGTAGATGTTATAGGCAGAGTCACACATGCTTGCAATCATGTGTGAACTCCGCAGAGTATAGAAATAAGTTAATCGCTCTCAGTGGGGGAATATAGGGAGAGCGCTCTTCCCGGCCGGCCGGCAACTCTGTTGAATGAATGAACTCTGTTGAATGAATGAAGACAATATTACTTAAAATATTAATAATTAAATTTTTAAATCAGTATTTAAATAATACATATTAATTAGAGTTGTTGGCGACCGGTTATTAACCGTTACCCACGGTTTTCGGTTAATCTAACTTTTAAAAATCCGGTTTTCGGTTCGAGTTTTAGGCAAATACCGGTTTTATTTTGGGAAAATTTTTAATAAGATCACCCATTTTCACAAATTTCCGGTTTCCGACGGTTAATTTTTGGCAAAAATTTCAAAAATTCCGGTTTTAAAACAATAATTTTGTTTTAAACAAAATTATTAAATGGATAAAAAATTTAAAGTCGACGATTTTAACATCGACATTCCAAAAATTACTGTATCATTTTACTACAGGTGCATATGAATATTGAGAAATTAAAACATAGATGTGGGGGGGGGGAGAACTAGTGTAGAGGCAAACAAAACTCTCTAATGACTTGTCGAGTGACTTGTCGAGAGACCCATGCCTCTCTTTTTTCTATGTTGTCTTCTCTGTGTCCTATCATTGACATGTTGGCATTCCTGTCAAGCCCGGCACTATCCTTTCTAGGAAGGCATTGGGCAAGGCCTATGCATTTTCCTTAGCGTTTATTGAATTAAATTCAATAATTAATCATGCGTACGATCCCGAGATGCCCTATATTAAATTATAAAATAAATTAAATAAAAACATAATTTAATTTAATTTAAAACAAAAAACAAAACTGCTGTATCTATTCACATAATAATTAATTACTAATAGAGTTGGCAGGTATCGTGATCCCGACAGATTATCATATTTTGGAATGATGATACCGATCCCGATATCCATACTGGCCTAGGTATCGGTATCAGAAAAAACGATATAGGGGAGAGTTGGCCGGTATCGGGTCCCGACAGATTATCGTAATTTATTCTGATGACACCGATCTTAATACAGATACTGGCCTCGGTATCGGTATCAGAAGAAAACGGTATCGGGATTCACCTTTCAATATCGGTATCAGAAAAATCGCTATCGGGATTCAAAGAAACCGGTATAATACCGCCCGATACAGGTCTAGACCCCTAAACCGGCCAACTCTTATTAATACCCGTATGTTTTGCCCATTCGAACTTCAAAACAATTAATTGTTTTGTTTATTTTTCAAATTTTTTAAACGATTCCATATGTAAAGCGACGAAGAGTCAGATGCCTATAGCGCGCAAATCGACAGCCTATAAACGACATGTTGGCAATTTTGGCAATAGAGAATTTTGGCAGCCAAGGCCCTCTGTTAGACGCATTCTTTAGCGTTTAATGAATTAAATTTTAAAATTAATCATGCGTAAAGTCCCGAGATGCCCTTTATAGCATTATAAATTAAATTTCAAAATCGTTAAAGCGTTTTTAATTAAAGTTGCACTTTTATTTAAATAAAAAAATAATTTTAATTCAAAACTAACCAATACCGTTACGTATTCTAGTTCATTCTAATTTCTCTATGCCCTACATTTGTATATGGTAATGGTACAGGGTGTTTCAGATAAAAAGCACTATTTGAAAATTCAATAACTTTTTAGTGCTTGAACTGATTTTAATGAAATTTGGTATTTAATATCTATATTTTATGGCATTTTTTTGACATAAAAATTATGTCGAAATTCGAACCCTAACCCGAGATAATTTCGTACTCTATCGTTCTGTTTTTCCCTTTTTCCGCACATGCATTCTTACTCCCTTTTGTTTTTTTTGAGCGGCGATAGACACTAGAGTAAACTCTAGGCGATAGACACTGCATTTTCAATACAGTATCTTCTCTTCGCCATACGCAGGAAAATAAATGAAGTAAGATAGCCCACAATGAAAAGAGGGAAAAAAGAGAACGGTAGAGTACGAAATTGAAACGAAATTGAAATACAGGGTTAGGGTTCGAATTTAGACATAATTTTTATGTCAAAAAAATGCCATAAAATATAGATATTAAATACCAAATTTCATTAAAATCAGTTCAAGCACTAAAAAGTTATTGAATTTTCAAATAGTGCTTTTTATCTGAAACACCCTGTATTATAAGAACCTGGCAATTTGTTTCAATAAAAAAAAAACGTCTTCTAAAACTTCTGGGAAATTATTTCAAGAACGAGCTGAGAATTTTGAAAATTCTGGAAAATCAGGAAACCAGAATTTTCTCAAATTTTGAGAATATTGAAAGACAGCTTTTTTTCATTTAAAATTAGGGTCGGTCAAAACCGTTTAGCTAATCGGTATACGGTAAACGGGTGTTATGTTAAAATTGGACTGAACGGTATACAGGTCTCAGATAACCGGCATAAACGTTATACGATTCTTCTCAACGGCGTTTAAAGTGTTTATTTTTTCTTAAAATTTTGTATATAACTCGAATGTGCCGAGGACCTCAAAAATCTCAAATTAAAATTTTCTTTTTTCAACAGAATTACATAATTAAAAAACATTGATTATAGTAAAATCATACAAAAATATTTCTAAATGTAGTGTAAGGAAAAAAAGATCCGCCGGCTAGCATCTAAAACGCTCACTAGGCGCGGGTTTAAGATCTATTAAAATAAATAGAAGGGAAAGCAGCGTCCCGGTAGCTCAGTTGGTAGGCACCTGTACGTGGAAAGATCGAAGCCTGCCAGGGATTAAACTTTTACCTCGCTCTTACTCTAGTATATTTAAATTATTGAATTAAGGGAAAAAGTTGAATGAGTATCATTGAATGACAAACATTATTTTGACAAATACGGTATTTATATTATTAATTGAGTTTAAATTATGGAGTAAAAACACATTTTTTTGACCAATACTTGACCAGTACTCAATGGCTTTATCTAATTAAATTTTAAAATAAAACAAAATTTTTTGACAGATTTATGCATGAAAAAAACAGGTAACCGAATAAATATAAAAAATAATGCCATAATATAAATTTTTAACTTAATTTTTTGAAATTTTTACTTTACAGCCCATGTAAGAGGCCTTGAAAAAGCCGTCTTTTTCAAGGTCAAAAGTTTTAATTTTATATCCAAAATTACTAGAGTTAACTTAATCCCATTTTTGTTTTGATTATCAAATAATGCTTTGGTAATACTTTGGTTTATCCATTTTTTCCAGTTTCGTTGATAAATTTAAGTTTTCTTGCCTAATACATATCTAAACTTAAATATCGAAAAAGCACAAAATATGCACCAAAATATGCAAACGTTGGCAATTTATGCACCGATATGCAAAAATGCTTGAGAGGGCCGAAATATTTAAATATACGCAGTTAGCTCAAACCAACGTAAAATCACCATTTTTGGATTATCTCATCAAGGCATATTCGCATACTAAACATGTAGGCTATTTAGTAGCATTCGACTCAGCTCGAATAAGCTCTTCAAATGATATATAAAAATGGTATACTTAAAATAAACTAGAACGGAAGAAAGGTAGGTAAATCAAAGTATTCCCAAAGTTTTTGTTTTCGAAGAATGATTTCGGCATTTAAAAATAGAGAAAGAGAATTTGAAATTAAAAGTTGAAAGGTTTTTTTGTTTGGTTAACAGCAAGGCGGTACTATCGCATCATCGCC